AGAGAGAGAGAGAGAGAGAGAGAGCGTTCCCGACCCTTTGCTCTTCACATTCCTGTCATATGACAATGACACTGTCAATAAACACCCTCTCCCAGCTTGGTTGATTAAGGCGATCTGTTAAATAGAAAAACTTGTCAATACTGATGGGACCCGTGTGGTGCGCAACTACACCATACCAAACTGAACCTGCGTCTGGAAGAAGGAGAGGGTACTTGTCTACCTGCGGAGGTCACATGAGGCGTAAATGGGGTGGGAGGGGGGGGGGGCGTTGTTCGAGCCCTATCTTAGTCATGATCAGGTGCACACATGTATCACTGTGGGCGTGCGCGCCGCGCCGTGTGGTAAGCCCAATACGTTTTTATACTAGGGTCTAGGGTAAGCCCAATCAGCGATCCAGAACATGGATTCCCGACTGGGCATGAAGCGGTGTCAAGGTAAAAAAAAATTAATGTTGAACTACGGGGAGATGGTGTAAACTGTGCAGGCCGGGCCACACCATGTGAAAAATGAACGTTTTACGTGGGGCTCTCTAGATATTGTTTTCAAACCACAATCACGGGTGACTGCTACTCTTGTGTGCGACATTTACACTGGGATTTTTTTCAGCAGGCACCCTCCCCTCAAGCCCTCCTCCTTTTGCAAGACTTTGCAGATGTGAGATTTAAAATGATAACACATGTTATATAACATATATTTCTAAAGCCCTAGAGATACGAAAACAGAGTCGAAATACAATAAAACGTAATCGTCGCTACCGAAACTCAACACGGACTTTCATCTTCTGACAAATTTACATAAATTATTTTGATAGGCTTAATTATGTTTTGCTGAGTGTCTGGAAAGCCCGTCTAATACGAGTTTGAAGAAGCACAAACATGATCTCCAAATTGTCACATTGTCTCCCACACATAATTCTTGAGCAACGTAGCTGCCAAGTAATGTTAAATTTAGACATCTCGAGACTCATCATTACTTCTACGTAATTCGAAGAAGGGAAACGAGATTTGGGCAACACAAATAGAACAGAGTAACATAAACTTTTAGGCAAAAGGAATGAAGCAAAAACAACTGAAAAGGTAGCGCAAAATATGTAAGTATTGGAAGTAACATAAGAAATAATGAAATAGTACTCTGTTCATAACCAATGAAATCAGCAAAATTTTTCAATTTCCTAACTCACTATACAAACACAAAGCTCATCACGGTAGCACTCTCTCACCAGAA